CCCTTTTTTCGTGTCTGACTTGGGAAAATCGATAATGAAGATAGTTAAAAAGATAATGATATTTCACCATTCAACTAATAAATATGTTACTTAAACGAGTGTTCGATTAAGCGTGTAATTTCTTTCTCACGTAGAAGGAAGAATATTTTATCACAACTTGATAAAAAGTCTGTTTAAATATCTTAAATTAAAAAATTTTAATTCCTAACTCGAAAACATTTTAATCAAACTTTTGTGCGTATATGAGAGAATGATGGATCATAAGCGATCCTCTTTTCTCTTTAAACGCTCGAAACGAACTTCAAATTTCCATTATTCTCTCATCCCTTAAACGTTATATATAACTTAATCTAAATATTTTCCACTATATAAGCGCTACTAAAATATAAAAACACCTTAAACAATTAATTGTTTCATTTATAATTCAAACTCGGTAACCTCGTATCAACTTACCCTTAATAAATAAGCCTCTAGAATCGATCATCCCCAAATATATTATACACCCCATGTACGTTCAAATGGGGCGTGCAAAATCAAACAGATCGATAGAGCAGATCGCGTGGTAATTAACGGCAAGTGGTAGCATTGATTGGGGTATTAATTCGCGACAAGGTGTAATGGAGAGGAGGCGAAAAACGCGAGAACGTGCGGCAGGAAATTACGAAACGAGCGGCCTCTCGTCATGGTCCGCGACCCATCGAAAATCCCCGACGGGGGCGCTAATTCGTCAATCGGTTGAAAAACGCTTTCTCCGATCTCATTGTGCCCCCGTGTCAACTTTAACTGATTCGATGAACCACGCTCGAGCGAAAGGTTAAATGATAAATGGAAGAGACGTGTAGGGCGTCAGGGGAGGGGATGAATGGTGGATCCACGATTTTTCCCTCGCCCAAGTCGAGCAATTCTGAATACGTACGAGTCATTTTTTATTATTTTGTTATCTGTAAATTTGTTGATTGGAAAGTCTGGGTGTTTTTTATGTTTCTAAGCATGATAAGTAGAAGATGTTGAATAATTCTTTATCTTTACACGAATTTGTGAAATTCGTAATAAAGAAAGTGTTCTGTGAAGTGAATCTGTGGAAATTGAATTATTGGATGAATTCTAATTTTAATAACAATTTGAAAAGTTTATTTACTTCAAAGCTTACGAAGTTTAAAAAGTTTAAATATTACATTATTGTAAAAATATCGAACGTTGCCTACAATTAAATAGAATGGCTGTGTTATAATACAATTTTATTTATAACCTTTAATTTTATTCAATGAATACAATTGATGCAACATAGAACATATTGTGATTCGAGGCTGAATAAAAGCTAAACGAGAGGAAAAACTTTTATACTAAAATAATCCCATTCTTTTTTTTACTACTAAAATAATTCCAATATATTTAGATATCTCGTCTCGTTTCGTCTCGCAACTTCATTAAAACTCTCCTACAAATTCAACGAAGAAACTCGAGATAATAAACCAAGCAGAAATTTCAAGGATTCGTATCATCAAACGTAACAATTACGAAAAAGAAGAAAAATGAACAAGAAAAAGAGTTGAATAAATTGTCCACGAAGAAGAGAGAAAAAGAGAGAGGAAAGAAAGTAGCGCGTAGAATGAAGGAAAATGTGGCAAAAAAAAAAAGGAATCCAATTACAGTTTCATAGCTGTGACAGGAAAATGCGTTTTTGGGTCGAGTTGTCTAGGAAAATTCGTTTATCCCCTCCCGTGGAGCGGAGAATCGCAATTCAACGACTTCTCGCTCGACGATATTCGTGCAATAATTAAAGGTGATCTTCCCTCTACTTCCATCATCGTCTAGTGGCTTCTCCCTTCCTATAAAATCTCTATTTGTCGATGCACGCTCAAATTAAAAATATTCTGAACACGAGCGAGATTAACAAAAAAATTGCTTCACAAATGCTTCGCAATATCTAAAGTTTCATCCAGTATTTCAATTATAGTGACGTCTATAAGTGGCAGCACTTTTGGAAAAAGCTCTGCCAATTATTTGGGGGGGAAAAAAAAGGAAGAAAGAAAATTTTGAAATTGAATATGAATGGTGAAATACTTGAATCTTGAAAATCTATTGAATAAGGGAATTGATGTTAGGAATTAATTTTATACGGTTATTTTATATTAATTCATATTCGAAGTTTAATCAATTTGTCAACTAACAGAGAGTTCGACGAAAGGATTGTTTTAAGCAGTTTGAAATCTATAGAGAAACAGCCATTTGAGCGAACTATTAGATTTGTGAGCCCTTTATCGGCTTTGTGACCCAATTCACCTCGAGTTAAATGCAACATTATAGCGTAAGGAATAAAATGAATATTTCTCTGAATGCAATATATCGTAAAGCATTGCAAGATAATGAAAATTTTTCATTTATAAAACAGACATTTGTGAAAAAAAAAATATTCAAAATCACTACAGCAAAGAAGATTCTTATTCTGCGTGTCGAACGAAACAGAAGAAGATAAAAAGATAAAAAAAAAGAACGCTACTTAAATCCGTTCAATTTCAACGTCTACGCATTTTCCACTACTCGAGAACCAATTGAAAAAGTAACTCTGTAACGATACACTTGCACTTTCTCCTCGCAGAATGAAAAAAAAAAGAGGAGGAGGAGGAGAGAAAGAAATCCAATAATCGTAAGACAATGGAAAGCAGAGGAGCGTTCCAATTTCAGAAACGAGAAATTTCAATCGTGATTCAATCCCCGATAAGCTCGAAATTCATACCGAGATTGAATCTCAAAACGACGAGCGATTAATCCTCGTTCGATGACCATCCTGTCGCCGTTTCAACGAATTAACACGGCCAGTTAATTAATCTCGCCTCACCGTATACGAAACAGCTGTTTTGCATTCTCTGGCTGCGAGCCATTCGTCGTCATGCCTCGTTGTCCATCTCATTATAATCGCGTTTTCCCCCCCTTTTCCTCCTTTCTTCATCTTAATTAATCGATACTTTTTAAAACTTTTCTTTTTATTTTTATTTTTATTTATTTTTTTTTTTTCTTATGAGAGTGAAATTGTTCGAAAGTGAGCCAGTTACTTGAAATTCCACTCGTGCAGTGTAACAGTTAATTTTATTGGAGAATTTCGCGTGTTCAGTTGGTAAAATTTCTTTCAATTGTTATTTTATGTTAACTATAAAAATAGAATAAAATAATGTTAATTATTACATAATGATTTTGGACATGGAAATTATATTGATAAATCGTTCCACCAATTTTAATCCGATATGTTTCCTGTTCTGTTATTTGAAATAGAAATCGAACGACTCCCACGAAAACGACGCCCACGCCTTATTTTCGATTAACAAAACGAGATGGCCGGGGATAATTTACGCAATATCTGGGGTGACTGGTTCGAGAATTTATTAAAAGAAATCACGGGTTTCTTTCCGTTTAAACGGATATATTCCACGCTATGTAAAAATTCTTTCAAGAAGAATTGGAAATTCAAACGTGTTCTATCAATTCCATTAAATTAATCTCCTCACCTCTTATCACACCTTTCATTCGCATTTTTATCTTTTCATTCCATATGTGAAACATTTTCGAAGGAGAATTTCCAGAGAGAAAGATGCCACGCCTCGTACACGAGAAATTTGGATTCAAACTGGTCCTATTCCCTTCTTAGTTGGTATTGTGTTCACAAGAAACACGATTTTCTTCGAAGCGATTTACATATCTTGAGCAACACGCCAAAATCCAAATATTTGTTTTCCTAAAAAAATTGTAAACTAAGAGAGTCTATATGTTTAATAACAATCGATCGAAATCTC